GGAGGAGGTGGGAACAGCCTGCGGGGAAACCTGGGAGCGTGTGTGCGTGGCACTGGGAGGCTTCAGTCCACCTAAACGCCTTCCCGCTTCCTCGACGCACCTGCCTTCCAGTTGTATTCCGTTTTAAGCGCGGAGAAGGACGGTAGGGAGCAGAAGGAGCAGGGAGGGCTGTTCCCTGGGGAGGAACAAGTTGACAGCCGTAGCGCTCAGTGCTCGCGGCGTCCTCACCGGCAGGGCGCGTTCTGACACAGCTTGAGCGTTCGGGCAGAGCCAGGTGCTGACGAGACTCCCCAGTAGCTCCAGAAAGAGTGAGCCGTAAGCCAGGCTGGCAAGAGTCCGTTTAGAGGCAAAGGGAGATGATGCCGGAGGAAAGGCTAAGGTAAAAGTAGCACTGGATGTAAAGGAACTGGCTGTGAAGTACAGTCAGATAGGAATTTGAGAGTAAAGTTACTTAAAACATAGGCTTGAAGAGTGTCAGAAAGAAAAGGCTGGAGATAGGACTTGAAACAGACATACCTGCAAAATAGGACAGGCAAACACTGAAGGGGGTCCAGGCATGAGCTTAAATAGAGCCCCTGGGCCTGTAGGCAGCGGGTGGGTGTGGAAGCCCCAGGTGAGGCTGATCAGGACAAAAATGTTCGTTTGGTGTACTCAGGACCCTGATGAGGAGATTTAATTCCGCTGTTGTATGTAAATTGCCATTGCTTTAAATCAGTCATCTTGCCACCAAGATGGTTTTCTTCTGTGAAGCTGAAGGTTTTCTCTGATGGAGGTTTTTCTTTGTTTGCCTTACTTATTTGATAGGGTTTTAAAGAAGTTTTTTCTTTATCAGAGCATACCATAAAACCTGCTGATGGCAAAAGAAGAAAGTTCTATGCTGGAAGTCTGAAGTTAATACTATCAAATTGTAATAGGCAGGTAGCATTATATTCTTTCAGTTTTCCTAGCCTTGCTCTTAACCATCTCAAAATACTGCTGTGCCTTGCTGTGTGGGGGTTCTGTCCCTCCTGTGTGCTGTTGGGCAGTGTCTGCTTAATACACACTTGGGCAGGCTCTGCGCCCCACTGAGCACAGTTGGTACTGGGGTTTCTGGAAGGTGCCACTTTTGCTGTCCTGGGGAAAGAAAGGTAGTTCCTGTAGATTGTACTATAAATTTCTATCACAGGTACTGTTGTCTGTCATGTAACAAAAGGGATAATATGTGTACTTTGTATTCAGATGTCCTTGATGTGGCCTGTTCCTGTTTTATAGGGAATAACTTACTGTGTTGCAGAGAGGAAGCTGGTTCCAGGAACCATTATTTCTCTCAGTTCTTGTAGCTTCCATCCACATTAAGCTAAAGCTGCAAACTTCATCTTCAAAGCTCAGCACAAGTTTTGTGCTTTTGCCTGAATTACAAAGGAAGCAACGGAGTCACTGCTGGTAAACTTCCATTTTTTTTTGAGTCCTGTTCTATGAAGTAACTGCTGTGAGGAATCAGGGAAGTTACTGGCTGTGTTTACTTCACTGGTTCATTTTGCTTCTTGGCTGGTTAATAAGCATCTCCCACTCCTGACAGACTTTTGCTAGCTAAGCCTGTTCCCAGATGCTGTGTGATTGTCTCTCCTCTGAGGTGTGTGGCTGTTTGTGTGCTGTGCCTGCAACTCTCCAGGTGAACCGGCAGGGCAGTAGCCATGCAAAGAAAGCTATGTTGTTCTATTTCCCAAGGCAGTAGTGAGAGATCCTGGGATCTAAAAAGCAAGCAAATTCAGGTTTATGCTACTGCTTGTGATTTCCTTTGCTCCTTTCACCCTACTCCTTATCGGGTTTTTTCAGTCCTTCCCCTTGGATGGTGTGCCTTTCATTAAGGCTGCAGGGAGAGCTATTCACCTCAAGAGAAAGCATTCCTATGAGAGATCTCTGGGCTTCCTCTTTTTTTTTTTTTTTTTTTTTTTTTTTTTTTCTGAGTAGATATTGAGAATAGCACAGTAATTTTAGTTCAGTTACTTTGGAATAAATGCAAGTGGTTAAATTTATGTCCCTTCCTCCCTTCCCGGCTGCAGGGAGAGGTATTCCCCTCAAGAGAAAACGTTCCTATGGGAGATCTCTGGGCTTCCCCTTTTTTTTTTTTTTTTTTTTTTTCAGTCAAGAAAAAGTGCAGATAGAGGGCATGGGTAGTGAAACACTGAATCCTTTCCATCTTATCCCTCAGAAGTACCTAGTGAAAAATCAGTGGCACTGCCATCTATTCCTTTTCTTTTGACAGGGTTAAGACAAGTTCTTGAGAGTAATGCTGCAAATGCAACTGTGTTCACATGTTGCAATGAGTTGAAAGGATGAAGGTTAAGACTTGTACAGTCAATTTTGGGCAAGGGAGGATATAAAACTCCCTCTATTTCCTCATTTTGTTCTTAATTCTTTACAAACCATGAATCTTTCCCTTAGGCCAGCCTAACCTTCTTGGGTGTGAAGGGATTTTCACCTCAATTTGTCCTAAGATTTTTCAGGTGGAGGTTGCTGAGACAACACACTAGCAGGTATTTTATTTAAACTCCTTTGGGGTGGCACATTGATTTCATTTTAATGACTTAGGAAGTTAAAGAGGTTTCCTGTGGGCTTTGAATTGATTAAATAAAATGCATAGCATTCTGATAATGATTCATATGGAAAAGCCCTGTGGCTTCTCTGAGCAGGAAGGTGACTCTGGTACAGCCTTCTGTGTGATACTGCAAGGCTTAAAAAGAGCAAAGGTTTAAAAGCTTGTTTGAACATCAGACAGATTATTTCGTTTAAACTATTTATTCTGGAAGTTAGAAGATAAACAGCCTTATAAGGAAAATAATGTGGAATAATCCTTATAAAGTCATATATATGGTTATCAATCTATTTTACTGTTTCTTAGTACAGGTGTATTATTTGATAGTAGTAAAATAATTTAGCTAGATACTCCCAACTAGTTTCCAACTAGTACATTTTTTCCCCCTCACTTAAATCCCAAGTAGATTCTGTGTTTGCGTGCTTCTCTGGTGCCCAGGTGTTCTTAATTTCATTTTACATTTTCAGAAGGATTTGGGTGGGAAAGTGCTGGTTTCTTTGCACACCTGGAGTTTCTCATCAGGAAATATTTTTTATCCTCCTACTTTAATACTGTGGGAGTAAATACTGTTTTTCAAACAGGCTGTGGCACACAGTTTGTAAACTTACGTAGGTTTTGGGTAAAGAAATATTTTGAGGTAACATGAGAGTTTGACTTCTAGGAGAGTTTATTAGTAAGTAACAGTTCTTTCTTTACTGTTTGTAAGCAGCTGTATTCTGACATTTATGTTTGTGACAATGGGTAAACTTCACACAATGTATTCTGACTGCCTGGGAATGTCTGTCTTGGCTGGGAAAATGGATTGTAAGGAACCTGCTCTTTACTGAAGTGCATCAATGCACTTCACTGGTTCTCAGCAGAGAGATGACTCTGAATGCAAAGCAGTGCAAGTGGTTTTCCAAGTTTGCAAATGAAAAAATATATAGGAATCATTATTTAAGCAGAGTCTGTTGCTTTGTCTTCAGCAACAAAATTAGAGTACTACTCTCTGAACTCCAACAGTGTCCTTCTGCTTATTTTCGCTGTGCTCAAACATGAGTACAAGCATAGGGAAATCTGCGTTAAAAGACTGCATCTTTTGGAAGGAAACACACACCACTGAGTGGCTTCATTCTTACTATGGATCAATTTTGTTTTCCCTAGGAAAAAATAAACCTCCTTCATCCTAGGAAACAGAAGCCTAAGTTAAGGATGTCCATAGAGCAGGTCTTGCTTGTTCCCACCGACAACCCCTTCCCTAAGGGTTGAGTTTCTACATCAGCGTAACTCGTGACCTGTGCTCAGTGCTGGTTCCTCGGCCACCTGTACAGTACACGATTGTGTAGCTGGAAAAGGGACTTTCCTCCCCCGGGAGGAGAGCCCCGCCGCAT